AAACTAAATATCTCCCTTTGGAGTGGACTTTGAGATTTGTAACTTTCTAGATCTTTTTTATGCCCAAACATACACACTACACACTGACTAAAATTAAAAAAGTGAAAAAGCATAATAGGACCCCTTTAACTTTTTTAAAGTATACTTATAGATGTTAAGAAACATAGTCATGATACTGGACACTCTTTATGTTCACTTAAGTGGCCTATAATTCCAATAATACAGTATTTTAGGCTATCTGCAAGTAGAGTTTTGTAAAAATGCACTTTGAATATTTTAACTATACACTTCATGTGCACATTCAATATGATTAAGCACACTTCTTTTTCATTAGGGACCTGCCTCTGTCTTTTTAAATGTGACCATGTGCTTGTATGGTGTATTCATCTAACACATTATCTTCCCACAGGGTTCACTAAGCCGCTGTCACTCAGAGTCAGTGAAAAAGCCATTGATACAGAAGGCAGAGGGCAGCTGGTTTACAATAGAGAGTGATGCACTACGAAGAGCAAAGCAGGATATCACAGTGGTGGTTTATGGTAGGAGTTGCTTTAACATTAAATTGTACCCGTTCTTCTGAAAAGTAAATAGTGGCCCTAAAATGAGCTTGGGCACTGAAATCACTCTTACAAATGTATGAATTTCAATGCACAGATAGCCAAATATCAAAACAAGCAGAATCTGCAAAAAAAAAAAAGGTTTTACAACCAGAGAGTGTCATTTTAAACAGTATATCTATCATTTTATTGTTTGAAACCCAGCACATCTGTTTACATTTTTTTTGCTCAAGAAGTGTGTTGGGGCTTTCTTTAAATACAAATAAATTCTGCTTGGTTTGATATTATTATCTAATGTGGTGACATTCATACATTTTTAAATGTGACTTAAAGAAGTAGTTTACCTTAACATAATCATTTGCAAAAAATGTACTCACCCTTAAGCCATCCAAGACGTAAATGAGTCATTGGAACAGATTTGGAGAAATTTAGCATTACATCACTTGCTCTCCAATGGATCCTCTGCAATGAATGGGTGCCATCAGAATGAGAAACGTCACAATAATCCACACCACCCCATCAATCTTGTGATGTGAAAAGCTGTGTGTTTGTAATAAATAAATCCATTATTAAGGCGTTTTAATTTAAAGCTTTGCTTTCGGCTAAATTAAGAGTCCATAATCCATAACATTACTTTCTCCAGTGAAAAAGTCGTCTCATCTGAATCAAGAGAGAAATATGCACAGATCAAGCACTGTTCACAAGCAAAAACAATCCAAGAGATTCTAAACAAATACTGTAATATTTTTTATCAGCTGTTTGGACTCTCATTGTGATGGCACCCATTTACTGCAGAGGATCCATTAGTGAGCAAGTGATGTAATGCTAAATTTCTCCAAATCTGTTCCAATGAAGAAACAAACTCATCTATAGCTTGAATGGCCTGAGGGTGAGTCAATTTTCAGCACATTTTCATTTTTGGGTGCTTTTTGGGACCACCAAACCACTTTAATTTACAGTGCCCTTGTTATACATGTAGCTACTACTATATAGCAAATTTTGCATAATTAAACTACCATTCAACTACCCCCTAAACAAAACCCTAACCCTGCAGTACAGTATGTGCATGCTGTTAATCAATATTACTCTGTATTTATTTGTGTAATTACACAGTGTGTAACCCCAAATTACTTTGTACAACTTCAATCAAATTTAAGACCCTAGTGGAATTGATGCCATATGTGTTTTCTCTTAGCTATCAAGGACAGCTTATCTGGATCTGCTAGATACACTGTTCCAATTGTTGATACATCCAGTACTGAGGATTCATCAGTCCAGCCGCTTTTGCCGACTACCGTCTCTCCATCATCTCATACTACTGATAAATCACTCAACTCTGTAACGCCCCCTGTCGCCTTGAGTCCTCTCTCCTGTGTCATTAGTCCTCTTGTGGGTGATGTTCTCTCTCCCTTTAAGATCAGCTGCTCTGTTGATCCATCTTTTTGCAGAGCTGGGTCCTGTATTTTTTGCTTCAAAACTGCCAGGGGTAAGACATGTGATTTATATTCTAAATTTGGTCAAATCAACCTATGTGTATAAGGGTTAACTTTGTGTAATTTGACCTATTTTGCAGGTAATTATTTTTATTGTGGTGCCGAGCCCACAGTGGAGTCGCTTTACCTTCCTCTTGGGGATAAACATAACAACTACAGTCTGATGGTGGACATCACTGTTAAGAATGCAGCAGGTGTTACTGCTGACACTGCTGTAACCACTCGGGTTTGTAGTCGAGTTGATTTGTTTATGAGCATCTTTTCAAAAGCAAGTGAAAAAATACACACTTCAAAACAATTCAGCTGAATTAATTAGACAGATGGTTCATTCTCAGAAAGCTGTGCCACTTGACCTTTAGAAATGGAATTGCCAAATTTTAAGACATTATAGAGTTTCCCACTTCATGCCCAAAATACCAGATCTGTAACCACTACAACAGTGAGCGAAGAGCATAGATGAATAAATATTCAGACAATCAACGCATACTTGTTCTTCAATGACCAAATTGTAAAACTTTTCAAACTTTAAACAAGTTTGGAATCTATATACTAATTTATACTTGATCATATAAATGGACATCTAAGTAAATTTTGGTCCGTTTTTTTTCTTCGTAATAAACCAAACATTATAAAATAAATAATTAAATATATAAGAATGTATGAATTCCCTTTCAAAACATGTTTTGTGCCATATAATTATGGCAAAGGAGAGCAAATGTTGGAAACCATGTGTCAATGATCAGCGATCATAAAAAAAAAAAAAATAAAATAAAATATAAAAAATATATGTAATTCAGTAAATTCAATAAATGCTAATTTTAGGTTCTAAATCCTACTTGTAAATTTTTTCAACCAATTTCAGTCTTTTTTTTAATGCATTTATATGTAATTGTGATGAATAATATCATTCAGTAATATCAGTACCAGGTTATGGGGACCATGGAACCATTTCCTAAGAATTAGTTAGACAGATAAAATGACAGACAAAAAGAATGACGGTCAAGATAGATAGAACAACAGAATTGTGGAAATAAAAATGGTTGTGCATCACATTCCAGGTAAAGGACACCAGTAGGAATCACACAGTTGGAGATCTCCAGGCGCTGGTTTCCAACCAGGTGTCTCAGCTGCAGCAACAAGGTCGACTCACTGGGGCAGCACTGGCACAGATGTTCCAATCTGTGTCCGACAGACTGAATGCTGCATTACCAGAAGGACAGCATGACAGTGTCAAAAAAGAGGTAGTGCATAGGGAATATGCACATTCAGAAATGTTTTATATACTCATCTTTTAAGCAAATATTCTTCTTCTAACTGAAGCTGAGGGAAGAGATGTTGCAGAGTTTGAGTGCTGCCACGAGTTCCTTCCCCCCAAAGAATCCAGCAGAGGTGCAGATGAGTGCTAATGTGGTTTCAGGCCTTACCACACAGGGTCATGAGCTGACAGACACTGCTCAGGTACTTTTTTAACCATCCAGATGGTAGCAATACAGTGTTAGTAATACATCTATCCTAACTCATTCATCTTGGCTACAGTTACAGGCTAGTTATCTGCTAACAAACCTCAGTAAGTCCTTGGTCTCCTTGACGCTTTCTGGCAAGGAGTTCTCTGAAAAGATACTGCAAGCATCCACGCCGATTATTGATGCTGCCAGTAACATCATCAAAGTTTCTTCCAGTACTTCTAAGCAGGTACATCACAACACTCAAGCCTTGCTCCATATTCTGATTCAAAACCATCATTCTTGACACTGTTTTCATTACCCTGTACTACAGAATGAGATCTCCAGTCATTTACTAAACACTGTGGACAATGTTCAGAGTGCCTTGTTGGCTGGGAAAAAGGTGAACCAGGAGCCCATCATACTCAGCTCTTCAGTTTTTGGTTTATATGTCAACAGGTAAACGAATAATGTTGGTAGGTCAAGGAATTTGTTGTCTTAAATCATAAACATAAGAACCATTTTACTTCCATAATTTAACATATTTTGTATGTTACAACTTTTTTTGTATGTATGTCACAATGTAACATAGATTTTGAATTTTTTTTCCAAAACAGGATATTCTGTGAGACAAATGGGTCATGAAATGGTTGGATTGTGAAAAGTGATTTCTTTGTAACAGGTGGTTAGAGGGGAGGGGATGAAAAAGCCATGAAATGGCTTGATAAATATTTTGTTTTAACACATTTTCTATTGAAACAGGAAGTCGGTATAGCCTATAATTTACAGTACATCACGACTCGCAAAATCACAATTTACTACATGGTATTGCTAGTCAGAAACAGGTGCTAATTATATTTTAGATGGGATGAACATTCACATTCTAGAGACCAATTTCACAGGAGATAATTTGGTACATTTTACTGAAGAGAAAACTGCTAATTTTCAATATGTGGTAAAAGTTTATTTGTGCACAAGCATATAGACAGCCTCAAAACCGACTGACATGAACTAAAAGGTGCAAACCTCAATTTTCTTTTAATAGGGTCTTTATTTTGCAGCCTAAGAAATAAAATGACTCATTCTGCTGTGCTCTTTCAGAATATCATCGGATGATCTTCAGAAACAGCCCTTTAACATTCAGAAGAACAGCTCTGCCAGTTTTATCCTCCCATCTCTGGGCTCTAATGTTCTGTCTCCAGATGAACCAGTAGATGTACGGGTGAGTTGAGTGATAATTTAATATTTTTTTCTTTTTTAGGAAGTCTAAAGTTGATGAGCCCATAATTTAGATTTTAGGTCAAATTTACATTTATTAGTTCAGCAGATGCTTTTATCCAAAGTGACTAACAAATGAGATTCATCCTGAGGAGGCAATAATAATAAAAAAAGTTTCAGACATTGTCTAGAACAGGGAGGGACATACGAAATAGTAAAAGCATAGAATTTCTTTTAAAGAGTCAACAGAAACACACAGAGTCTCCCTGACATGCTGCTTCAACACTAACTGCGGTTACTGAAACCACGCCTTCTTTCTTTGCGTGCACATTTGAGTGCGTTATGCAAATGTTAGAACGAGCCGTTTTAGGGGGGCGTGGCAGAGTCTTAACTTTGATAAAGAATATCTCTTTGGTTTTGAGACTTTAGTCTTTGCAACTTCAGGGATCTTATCTATGCACAATCAGCCTGTAACACTCCAAAGAGAAAGGGAAACTTGAAATCGCATCATATGACCCCTTTAACAGGACACAGTTAAGTGCTCAAGGGAAATTAGTTTTTTGCATTTTAACTGTTTCTTGAATATTATAAGAGGTTTGGTTGTGAAGATCATTCCACCACTAAGGAACAGTGAATGTTCGAGAAAGTGATTTTGTGCCTTTCTGTGATAGTACTACAAGGTTCCACTCACTCACTGACCTCAGGCTTCTAGAGGAAATGTAAAGAGGGAGTAAGAGGGAGTAGAGGTAAAAAGATGCCAAGTATCAGTGTCTTGAAACAGTAGCCAATGAAGAGAGATTAAGAGAAGTGTAACATTGGCTCTCTTGGGCTCATTGAAGACTGATTGTGCTGCTGCATTCTGTATCATCTATAGAGGTTTGATTTTACATGTTGGACAACCAGCCAGAAGAGCATTGCAGTAGTTAGGAAGGGCCTGATCTTCAGAATGTTGTGCAGTACAAACCTGCATGACTGTGTTACAACGTGGTCTTTGAAGCTCATCGAAGCTAGCTAGTTAGTCATCAAAGGTTACTCCAAGGTTTCTGACTGAACTGGTTGAAATTATCATCGAAATCTGGATGGAGAAATTGTGCTGAAATGTTGGAGTGGCTGGGAAGACAACTTCCCTCTTTGCTAGGTTGAGTTGTTCTTTCAGCCATGCTGAGGTGTCTGCCAGACAGGCCAAGATCCACACAGCTACCGTGGAATCGTCTGGTTGTAATGAAAAGTAGAGTTGCATGTTATCTGCGTAATAGTAGCAGGAGAAACCTTTGGACACCTCTCCCACCTACTTGTGAGGTAAGATTCAAAAATTAGACTTCTGTAATACTAATTTTCTCTTGAACGTATCACAGATGACAAGTTTCAGGATAAATCCATTTTCACGGCATGAGGGCGAGCATATTAGTGGATCAGTGGGGTCTCTATCTCTCACCAAAATGAATGGCTCTGTGATTACAGTGGCAAACCTCACTGAGGAGATTGAGGTAAAAGGAGATTGTCAGCAATAAAGGCCAAAAGCTTGGCTACTGTAAACATAAAACATCCAGAACTTATTTTCCTCATTTCCTAGATTCTCTTACCAAGGACGGAGGTGGCAGAGGTTAACCAAACTCTTCTGGAACTGGCAAACTTCAGCACTGTCATCATCAATGTGACTGCACCCAATATATCTCTGGTTTTCAAGTTAGACCCTTCAGAGGAGACACCTCTGCAGTTGCTCCTGGGTTTTCAGGACTACCCTAACGATACAAATTATGAAGCTCGGATCCAGCTACCTCAAGATGGCGACTCTGAAGGTTATTAACCAATATAAACAAATGAACAGAATTTAACAATTTTAGAAAGAGATTGAGACTTATTTTGTTATATTTGTGTGTGCAGAGGAGAGGTACACTTGGGTGCTTAACCCTACGGAAATGACAATAGAAGTAGGCGTTTACTACCTTCTGGTGAGGCCTGTTGTTGGAGCAGGGGTGAATTCGACAAACACCTCAGTTTTCATCACAACCATTGCTGCTCACTGTTTGTTTTGGGATGAGACAAAGGCCAATTGGAGTGGAGATGGCTGTAGGGTAAGTCGATCAGTTAATGTCTTTTAAGGCCGTTCACACTGACAGTTATTTTATTACTGCAATCATTCTCTGTGTGAACGCTCCTTTAAACTGAATAAGCATGTAATTTATACAGAGGATTTCATGGTTAGAGCCTTACCTTTTTTCAGGTTGGCCCTCGAACTACAACATTGGTTACTCAATGCCTATGTACCCATTTGACCTTTTTTGGAAGTTCTTTCTTCGTCATGCCCAACGTTGTTGATGTGTCCCGCACTGCTGAACTCTTTGCAACCTTCGTCAACAACCCAGTGGTGGTGTGTTTTGTAGGCGCCATCATCCTGGCTTACCTGTTGGTTGTGATGTGGGCACGAAGAAAGGATATTCAGGATGCAGTGAAGGTTTGCTTTTAGAAACCTGGTTCTCTTGAAAATCCAATTTGACACTTGTAATTCCTTATCTTGTTTGAAACAAAAAAAGCAAAAAGATAAACTATAAATAAAATAAATAAAAACTTCCTTGTTTAACTTTCATCGTAATCTCCCTACTTAAAGGTGAAGGTCACAGTACTTGAGGACAATGATCCCTTAGCTGAATATCGTTACTTGTTGAGTATCAATACAGGGCATCGTCGTGGGGCCTCCACCTCTTCTCAGGTAAGTGTCGTCCAGCTTTGTTTCCAGCATTTTTTCAGGAACACTGTACCATTCAGTATTAACACTGCCATAAAATTGTTCCAGGTGACAGTGACTCTACAGGGCACAGAAGGAGAGATTGAACCTCATCATTTGACTGACCCTGAAAAACCAGTGTTTGAAAGGGGAGGACTGGACATGTTCTTGCTGACCACCCCCTTCTCACTGGGAGAGCTACAAAGTATTAGGCTGTGGCATGACAATTCAGGACAGCATCCTTCTTGGTAAAATGAATAGAAATGTCATATAGTACTTTGTCAGATTTCTTGGAGGCATGTTGATTTTTGTCTATGTAATTTCATTACTTTCTGTATGTGACCTGAATTGTCACAGGTATGTTAACAAGGTAATGGTACAAGACCTGGAGACTGGGCAGAAGTGGCACTTCCTGTGCAACTCATGGTTGTCCGTTGACTTGGGAGAACGTACACTAGATAAAGTTTTCCCTGTAGCAACAGAGATGGACTTGAAAAGGTTTAGGTATGTAGCTGAGAGATTGTTGGGTAAGAAATAGATGTGTGGTACAAAATTATGGGTATTTTCTCATTAACGTTTAATTTATTGTCTTTAAACTTTACAGTAATTTGTTCTTCATGAAGACTGCAAAAGATTTCCGTGATGGTCACATCTGGTTCTCTGTAATCAGTCGTCCCCCAAGTAGCAATTTTACTCGAGTACAGCGTGTCTCCTGCTGTTTTTCGCTGCTGCTCTGCACCATGTTGACCAGTATCATGTTCTGGGGTATCCCATCAGACCCCTCAGAGCAGACCATGGACCTGGGTATGACAAATAAAACATTAATCTAACAGTATCTTACATCAACTTCACTTCAGCCCTTATCAGCAAAGTTGAACATGTCCATCCTTATTTAGTCGGTACATTCAGTCCATTATTATTCAGTCCGTACTACATGTGACTACAGGATACTGTACTCAAACATGTCTTGCTAAAGTCGCACTTGGGCACAGAATGACAATCACACTCCATTGGTTAGCTTTTTATCATACCACTAGAACACCATCGCATCACACCTGTTTAATATACTAGACAGCTCCATTGTTTGTAGTAGTTCAGTCATTAATGGTTAAAAAACGGACAATTTTTCAAAACGTGTGTTGCTTGAATCAAACATATGTACATTCATAATAATGTGATTTCTATCTTTGCATGGGCTACAGGTCAGATTGAGTTCACCTGGCAACAGGTCATGATTGGCATCCAGAGTTCCATTATTATGTTTCCTATCAATCTCCTCATTGTGAGCATCTTCAGAAATGCTCGTCCAAGAGAACAAAAGTCTGAATCATCTTCAAAGCAACAGTCAAAGATAGATCCCAAAAAGCCAGTCAAAATGGGGCGTGTATCTCCGAATCAGCCTCCACACAATAATCACAAGGAAATCACACCTGACACTGTGATAAAGGCAAGTCCTTCTCTAAGATTTTGGCCCAGAATAGTTCCATTTCTCTGTCATAATGGATGTGGTATTATGACATTTCTTATAATATCTTTTCAGGACATCAAACGGATAGCACAGTCACTCTATAAGGTCATGAGAAGACCTGTTCCAAGGACAGAACTGGACTCCACCAAAACAGATATCAACAATCTGCTGTCACTGGTTGAAGAGATAATTCGTCAACACAATCGAGTTGGAAGTGAGTTTTACACGGACTCTTCTAAAAAGAAGCAAACTCTCGCAGCTTCCCTGGAGTGTGTCAATCTGAAAGGTGAGTCCATGGACATGGACAATTCAGAACTTCAAATTATCCCATCTCATACTTTAAAGGGGTTATATGATGCTGCTAAAAAGAACATTATTTTGTGTATTTGGTGTAATGAAATGTGTTTATGCGGTTTAAGGTTAAAAAACACATTATTTTCAACATACTCTACATTATTGTTTCTCCTCTATGCCCCGCCTTTCTGAAACGCGTCGATTTTTACAAAGCCCATCGGTCTGAAAAGCTAGGTGTGCTCTGATTGGCCAGCTATCCAGTGTGTTGTGATTGACCGAATACTTCAAGCGTGTGACAGAAATGTTACGCCCCTACCATATTGTGATGCCTTGTCTGGCCGGAGCGACGAGACAAACACATTAAAACCCATTATAAACGAGGCATTTGTTGCATCCAGTGGGGACATAATTACGGATTATAATAACTTATACTGTCTTTTTACGCATTGCGTTGCATCGCGTCGCGTAAACATAAAACCATGTCTGCATTTGTAATCTGAGAAATTACAAACAACAAGTGCTACTCTACACTGCCCAAAAAACTTGCATTTGAATCGTCAGTGGCAAATTCTTTAAATATAAAAACCGTACTTACAGTCTGTGAGTCAGATCAGCCGGCATTGTAGTCTACTCTACCAGGATCAGTAAAAAGTCCACCATAAAATGCGCTGGACACATCTGAGTATTTGGGTTAAACTGTTCAGGAACAGTGTTGTAAATACAACTTAACCACTAATTTCTAGTCGTGTCCTCTTTTGGAAGGCCAAAAAAAGTAGTTTCGCTTTCACAACAAAACAGCGTCACACACCGAGTGAGTGAGCGGAGGCCGGAGGCCTAGAGTGATCGGCGGACTAGAGTATGCGGAGGCCGGCTTGAGTGAGCAGAGGCGGGCGGGCTTGAGAACAGCACGGCCAGCGGATTCAACGAAGGAGCGTCCGGCGGGCTTGCGGCAACCACATGTGTGATGACCCCGGGCTGGACTCCGCTTCGTCCACGGTGAAAGCCGATCCGGCGATCGACAGCGTGAAGTTCATGTATTTCCTCAGCGACCAGCACGGATCAGCTCTAGGCATGACGAAGCGGATATCGTCCTCTTTTGGAAGGCCAACCAAAGTAGTTACGCTTTCACAATGAAACACAGCGCCTTCACAACATGGCGCGGCGGCGGCAACAATACTACAGCAAGAATAAAAGTTACTTCTTTCTTTGCATGAACATTTGGGTGGCGTTATGCAAATCTTCCCAGATCGTGATGTAGACGTGGGGGCATGTTAGAACATGCAGTTTTAGGTAGGCGTGGTTGACTCTTAACATTTATAAAAAATATCTATTTGGATTTGAGACTTTAGTCTTTGCAACTTTACAGATCTTCTTTATGCACCAAGAGGTCTTACTAAAAAAGATGGCGGCACATTCACACGCTGCGGCTTCTCTCTCTCCCGACAGAAAGGTGTTTTCGTGTTTTTTGTCTTGTGAGTCGCAGTGTTTTTGTACGTATTCGTCGCGTATTTGTCTCGATGTCGGCAGAACCACATTTTTAGAGTTAAACTCTGCGCACGCCGAAGAGCTGCGGGATCTCGGTCTGCTCTGGAGGCCCACACCATCACCGACCCCCACTACTGCATCTCGCCCACAGCGGAGGCGCCACAAGCGGCGCGAGAGGAAGCAGAAGAGGGGTAAGCGCGGAGGTATCTGGGCTAAGCTAGCGGCTAACCCACACAAGCCGGCTATCCCTACCATCGTACTGGCTAACGTACGCTCTTTGGACAATAAACTGGACTACATCCGACTACTACACTCAACTCAGAGGACTGTAAGAGACTGTTGTGTTTTTGTGTTCACGGAAACATGGCTCAACAACAGCGTTCCGGACTGCGCTATTCATCTCGATCAGCTGACATGCTATCGAGCGGACAGAGCTCGCGTCGAGGGAGGTAAGACCCGCGGCGGAGGGCTTTGTGTTTACATCAATGATGCGTGGTGCCGCGATGCTGTTGTGGTCTGCAAACACTGCTCACCCCTGGTGGAGTTTATGATTATTAAGTGCCGGCCGTTCTATCTACCGAGGGAATATACAGCCATACTGCTCGTTGCTGTATACATCCCTCCCAGCTCCAACAACAGCAACAGGAGCGAGGCACTAAATGAACTGTACCAGCACATCAGTGAGCAGCAGACAGCCCACCCTGATGCTTTTCTCATCTTGGCTGGGGATTTCAATCATGCAGACCTAAAGAGTGTGTTCCCAAAAATACACCAACACATAGACTTTCCAACACGGGGAAACAACCCTCTGGACTTTGTTTACACCACACAGAGAGGAGCTTACAAGGCCCT